TTTTTTTTTTTTTTTTTTTTTTTTTTTTTTTTTTTTTTTTTTGCAGTACCAGGGATCGAACTCAGGACCTTCAGCTTGAGAGGCAGGCGGCAACACCACGGAGTTAAATCCCCAGCCCTTGTTACATCCTTTTGCTAAAATTTTTTCCCCAGTACTGGGAATCAAACTCAGGACCTTGTACTTGCCAGGCAGGCGAGTCTCTTTTGCTATAATTGTCTTGGTCATGAATACAAATATATGTTAAGTCCTTCTTGGTCATGAATAAAAATATATGTTGACACCTTCTACTGAATAACCCAACCTGTGATTGATTTTGGGGAGCCTCATAACAATGACCTTTCACTATATATATAACTATCTAAATAATAATTGCAACTAAATTACCGTAGTAAACACTCCAGATGCTGTGGACCAAGACAGACATGGAATCAATGGCATGGGCTTAGGCCAGTTGGATACTGCTAAGGAGGCCATCTGTAACATAATACATCAGTTGAGAAATCTTATTCTAAACTGCCTAGTTGTTAAAATGAAAAGTAGTTAATACTAAGAACTTTGAGTAGTAAGTAGGTGGTGAGGTAAGACATGAACATAAAGTCTTTAAACATCCATGGGAATGTCTATGTTAATCTCCCCAAATCTCAAACTTAGCAACATAGAATTTCCTTCTTAGAAATAAAAATTTTAAAACTTGGAGACCATTTACCAACATCTATTTTCTGTCACTTAAGTACAGAGCAAGGGTGCTGAGATGTGGATGCTAGGCAGCAGGCTAAGTGAACTCACTACTTAAGTGACTTACTCAGATAATGCAAAATCACAATCAGAAAATCTCACACTTGTAAGGTGACTGAGGAGGCTAAGAATTTGTGAACTATAGAGCAGATTATACAATGGACATAATGTAACCCATGTGTTTAAAGAAGGGAAAAGTGACTTTTGGCTACAGTAGTCAAGAGAAAGCTTCAAGAAATGGCTGAATCTTTTCAGCCATTTGTTTAAAATCAACATGGTAATGAAGTATAGTGTAGGTAGGGGAACAGCCAATATCCTTCTGTTTGGCTGGTCAGTAGGCTTATGTAGTCATTGAGGTGAGTGAAAATGGTAGAGCTACGAAGACTGATCATGATCAGATGAGTGGTCCCTTTGTTTTACAGCAAATTAAGAGTTATGAACAAAAGAGTGGTATTGTGAAAGTGATTCAAAGAAGCTAATGTGATCCAATTTTGAAGATTAACTAGCAGTTGAGATTTGAGGTAAGGAGATCAGTTATTAGGCAGGAGCCCAGATCATAACAATGGAAACATTAGTAGGGTGTAAAATAAATCCTTTTCTACCTTTAGTTTCACTGGTAGAAATTGAATACATTTTTTTAAAACTTAATTTAATAATTCAAATGACCTATAGAAGAATTCATATACCCAATTTAAAATATATGTACTGAGTGATTAATGTATGCCACATAGCGAACCAAAGGATGTTCTCAGCCTTCAATGAACCAACTGCTTGATGGAAAAAACAAACTGCTAAACTATACAAGTGGGTGGGCCAGGCATGGTGGCACACGCCTGTGGTCCCAGCACTTGGGAAGCTGAGGCAGGAGGATCGCCATAAGTTCAAGGCCAGTCTGGACTACATAGTGAGTTCAAGGCCAGCCTGAGCTACAAAGTGAGACCGTTTAAAAAAAAAAACCAAACCAAAACAATTAAACCAAAGTAACCCATGGGTGAGAGTCAGACGTTAAAGGCTACTACCATATAAACTAAACAATTATGGTACAATGAAAAGTACTAAGAAGAGATGAAAGAGTAGAAGCTGTGTTATGTAAATGTTCCAAATCCCTATGATGAATGTAATCACTGTGTATGACAAACATGTACTAATAAAAGTTCTTGTAACAAAGTATTTAAAATTAATGAAAAACAAGAAAGATGAAGAGCTAATGCGAGATACAGAAGGGAGGTAAAGCGGAGAGCAGAAACAGCTTCTCTTAGGAAGTAAGCTCTGAACTGGAACTACAAGGGGATGCTGCTCTTCAGCTAAGTGAAAGGGCATTAATGGGACCAGAACAGCTAGAGCCCTATGTAAAAGCAAACTTCTGGTAGGTTCTGAGCAGGAGAGAGCAGAGCTCAGAGAAAGACTGTTCTAGTTATAGTGTTCAGGAAAAAGTTTAAAACTCTAGTAGAGAACAGACTAAACACACAGAAACCAGTTAGGAAAGCCGGGCGTGGTGGCGCATGCCTGTAATCCCAGCACTTGGCAGACTGAGGCAGGAGGATCACTGTGAGTTCCAGACCAGCCTGGGCTACATAGTGAGTTCCAGGTCAGTCTCAACTACATAGGGAGACCCTGTCTCAAAAAACCAAAAGAAATCAGAAACCAGTTAGGAGTTGGTTTTGGTACATTCTGGAAGACAGAGGTAAAATATGTTGGTAGTGCCGGGAGTGAAGAGATAAAGGGAAAGTATTTTCCAATTCAGCTATCTTGATCAATTTAACAGCAAAACTTAGTATTTCTATTTGACACTCAAAACATTAAACTTTATAATCAACTTTCAGAGAATATTAAGCCCAGAATCTAAGCTGTTAATGGAGAGTAATACAATATCTATATATGAAAAAAATCATCACTTAATTAGAATGAAAGTTCAAAATTTGTTTGTCTCCTACTTTCATCAAGACTGAAGTTACTTCCATATCTAAACAGAATTTCTAAAATAACTGAATTCCACAGATCTTAAAATCACAATGAAATATAAATTGAAAAAGGCTTACGTGTCCTCCCATGGATATTCCAGTCATTCCTAATGGTCCATATCCTTCCCTCTCTAGCCAGTGCAAGAGAGCTGCAGATTCTAAAACAAGAGCTCCTCCCATCACAAAAAGGTCAGACACATTTTTTAAGCTGGACCTCCTAGCCTCACAAAACAAAACAGAAAGTGAGTATTTCATGCATTTCCCTTTTTTTTTTTTTGGTACTGGTTATCATACTCAGGACCTTGTGCTTGCCAGGCCGGCACAGTACCACTGAGTTAAATCCCCAGCCCTCATGCATTTACATTTTAATATGTGGAAATTTATATCAGGCAGCTAGATTTAATTTTTTTCTTTTTTTGCAATATATCAAGTAGAATGTTTTAGTTTTCTCATTGCTGAGATAAAATACCTGACACCCAAAGTTAAAGGAGGAAAGATTTATCTGGGATCACAGTTTGTAGAGGTTTCAGTCATTATCTGGCTGGCTTTAAGCCAAGGCAGCATGGGAGAGGAGCATCACGGGAGAAACAGCTCATGGCAGGTAGATGGCAGCAAAAGCAGCAAGCTACTTCAAGCCCACCCAGGGACACCACTACTAACTGTGGGCCAGGGATTAGCTCAGTGGTGCTGCCGCCTGCCTCACAAACTCAAGGTCCTGAGTTCGATCCCCATTACCAAAAAACAAAAAAAACAAAACAAAAAGGGAGCAAGCTACAAGGGACCCTCTTTCTATCCCTTAGCTCTTATCCAGGTTACCCACCATAAGGGCAGACAGCCCTCACACTCAGGGTGAGGCACCTTTAATCCTAGCACTGTACCAGAATCAATACCAGCATCATCACATCCTTGATCCCAGCATCACATGCCTTAGATCCAGTCACCTCCAAAAAGCCCCACATATGACCACATGAGGCTCTGGGGGGACATCTAGATACAAGTCATAACATAGAAATAAGTTTTACACAGAGAAAGAAAAGCAGTTTAAGGGAGCAAAAAGCAACAACCAAAAAAGATACTGCAAGAATCAAACTGAATCATCCATGCAAAGTGCTTAGTACAGTGCCTAGAAAAATACTTAAAATATAACTTCATTGCCATTACACACTTATATTTGTGTGTGTGTGAGTGTGTATATATAAATAAAATCTCTATCCTCCCTTCTACTGAGAGAGTTTAAGTTGATTTTTTTTTAATCCATTAAGTTTACTGCTACATTTTAGGTATACATTATGATCATTTTCTAAGATGGCCCTGAACTCACTATATAGCCCAGGCTGGCCTTAAACTCATGGCAATCCTCCTGCCTCAGATTCCTGAATGCTGGGATTATAGGCATGGGCCACCACATTTGGCACTGGTAAAATAATTACTGCTATACTGACAATTTTTAATGATTTTAAGAAAAACAAATTTAAAGTTTTCTTTCACCTTAAAATGAAATTATTACAATAGAACAGAAACATAATTTTTTTTTTTTTTGAGACAAGGTATCACTATGTAGTTCAAGCTGGCCTTGAACTCACTATGTTGCCCAGGCTGGCCTCAAACTCAGCAGTGATCCTCTTGCCCCAGCCACAGCCATAGTGCTAGGATTACAGGCATGTGCCACTACACCAGGCAAAACAAACTTTTTTGTTCATTGGTTTTTTGAGGCTGGGTCTCGCTTTGTAGTTCAGTTTGGCCCTGAACTCACTTTGTAGCCCAGGATGGCCTCAAACTGATGGCAATCCTCCTGCCTCAGCCTCCTGAGTACTGGAACTACAGGCGTGTGCCACCATACCTGGCTCAAAACAACCCCCCGCCTCAGTACCAGGAATCAAACTCAGGTTTTTGTGCTTGCCAGGTAAGTGCAGTGCCACTAAGCTACATTCCCAGCCCTAAAATATATATATATTTTGGCACTGGGTATCGAACTCAGGACCTTGCACTTGTGAAGTGGGTGGTGGAATCCCTGGCCAAAACAGTAGTTTTTAAAAAAAGCAAAGTAAAGGTAACCTAATAGAAGACCATGTACACACTATTTTCATAAAATACACAATTCATGAATATGAGTATTCCTCATCTCTAGGGTTAAATTTTTATTTAATAAGCCAAATGTCTGGGCATGATGGCACATATCTATAATTCTAGCACTTGGGAGGTTGAAGCAATGTTACAAGTTTGAGGCCAGCCTAGACTACATAATAAGTTCAAGACAAGCCTGGACTACACAGTGAGATCCTGTCTCAAAAAGCTAAGTAAATAAATATGCAAGCCAAAGAAAATACAATATAGTACATAATGGAAATGCCAAATAATTACCAAACTTTATAACTTAAAAAGACCAGAAGGAAAGTTTAATCTTTATATAATAAAAGGAAAAAGTTCTATCACTTTTTCATAGTTGTATAAAATATATAAATTCAGTCTATTAAAACTTCTATTGTATCTCATCAGACATTAAAAAACAAAAATCTTAAGATAAAAATTAAAGTCATTAGTTCTACTCTTTTATAACATCCCTCATAATACATAATACATGGACATTAAACTTAGAAACTTTGCTGAAAATGTGGTATAAAAGCTGCAAAAATAAAGGTGATATATATATATATATATATACTTACACTTGGTCCCTGGGTTTCCTGCAGCCATTTAAGAATGTGGGTCAAAGAGAAAGTTTTAAAATATTAAATAAACTTTTGTCTCAAAATATATTAACTTAGAATAGTTAAATTTGAACACAATTTAATACTGACAAAAGTAGTATCTAGCTACCTCCATAGGCTGTGAAGAAGTTCTCAGGTTTTTCTTAATCTTTTTTTTGTGTGTGGGGGTAGTACTAGGGATCAAACACAGAGTCTTGTGCTAGGCAAGCACTCTACAACTGAGCTCTATAATCCCAGCACTTTTTATTTTCAGAAAGGGTTTGATAAGTTGGCCAGGCTGGCCTTAAACTTGCAATCCTCCTGCCTCAGCCTCCTAAGTAGCTAGAATTATAGGTATGTGCCATCATGTCCAACTATGTTCAATTTCGTTATTTTTCTTTTAATTATATAATTTTTGAGCTACATAATTCATCCATTTAAAATGTAAAACGTATTGTTTTCAGTATATCACAGGTTTGTAAGATTTTCTACTTATATTCAATAAGTGAAGTTTGTTATAATTTATGTATTTATGTTTATTATAGAGATCTAAAAAATATACAAAAGCATTTAGAAAAAAAGGACTTTATGTATAAACAAGGCATTTTTGTGTATTCTCCTCTAGTATTTTCCTCATGAGTACTTTTTTGGTTTGAATTGTCTCTAAGGGTTTTTTTTTTTTGCATATCTGTATTATTCAATTTGTTTTTTGTTTTGTTATTGGAGAGTGAACAGAGAGCCCTGTGCATGCTAAGCACACATTCTGTCTCTGAGACATCATGGTTTTATATTCTATTTTTGTATCATAACTACTTTTCACACATTATACATTTTTAATAACAGTTAAAACTTACAGAATGCTTATAATTTAGTCAAGTAGTATTCTACATAATAGCATTTAATACTGAATAACCTACAAGATTATTCCCATTTATCAATGAGAAAACTAAGGTAGAAAAAGGTTAAGTAACAGGTCCAAAGTCACAAAGGTAGTAAGTGGTACAGCAATAAACACAACCAACTGTATAAAATTCTAATAATATGAACCAGTTTACTCAGTCATTTCTCTGTTGTATACATTTATTTCTACTGGCTTATAAACAAAGCTGTATACATATTTTTGTTTTGTTTTGTTTTCTGAGACAGGATCTCATTATGTAGTTGAGACTGACCCTGGAACTCACTATGTAACCCAGGCTGGTATAGAACTCACAGTGATCGTCCTGCCTCAGCCTCCTGAGTGCTGGGAATACAGGCATGTGTCACCATGTCCAGCTTTGTATTTTTATCAGTTTCTATTATCTTACCAATTTATTCTTAGAATACATCTAGAATCAAAGTCATTCAGAAAAGAATTGTAAGATTTTAATTTTGTTTTCCTTTTTGAGGTGAAGTTAGGCAAGTGGTGTACCACCAAGCCACACCTCCAGCTCAGATGGAAGATGTTTTAAGGCTCTTGATATACATGGTAAAAATGTATTTCTAAAGGGCTGAACTGATTTTCAGTCATTAGTAATAAGAGCACCCAACAAAGTATCCTCTCCAGTATTTTTTTATTTTCAAAAGTGATTGGTAATTATTGTTTTCACTTTACATTTCTCTTATTACCAGTAATGCTGAATATTTCTTTAATCTGTGTATATCAGTTTCATTTCTTCTTCTGTGAATAGTTTGCCATCTTGAAATTTAAGTTAAGAACTGTTCTAAGCTCAACTGATACCATCAATGCATTTCAAACACAAATGTTTCTTCAGGATTTTTTTGGTACCGGGGATCGAACTCAACACCTTGCACTTGTGAGTCAGCCACTGAGCTAAATCCCGGGCCCCCACAAATATTTCTTTAATAGCAAGCATTTGACTTACTAAAAAAAAAACACCCATTAATTATACCTCAAGAAATAAAAGTATAATTTATCATTATACAATAGAAGTATAATCCTTATACTAGTTTTTTAAAAGGCACAAAATAATTAATTGTTCGCTCTTTCATTCTTCCTTATTTTCTGAACTGATGACTGAACTAATTTGGAAAAGCTGGATTTAGGATTCTTTGTGATAACTAAATATAAAAATAAATAAGAAAAATATTTCTTAAGTGTTACAAAAGGATATAATACGGGTTTTCCAACAACAGTGAAGCCATTCGGGCTTCTTTAATCATGGGACGGGCCATTAGTGTTCGTCGCCTCCAGTAATGCTAAGGAGAGAAGAGATGACATACTTAACAAGTACAGTAACCACATTTAAGGAGAATATGTTAAAAAGTTATCTGGACATTAAAGTGTTATAATAAAGTCTTACATGATCTCCTGTTCCAGCAAGATGAATGCACACAGGTCTATATTTGCTGTTCCATTCTTTAGGCACAATAAATTGGAACCTATTTAAAAGAAAAAAAAAATTCTCTTGAAAAGGCTTTCAGTGCAACCTTTTTTTTCATATTATCTCTTTATATCTCCTTTATCATCAATGTTTATAATTCTCAGTGTATACATCTTTCATGTCCTTTGTTAAATTTTTAAATTAAGTTTATTGGTACATTTTAGGTATACAATATGACGAAATTAATCACTGGGAATTTGTACTTTTACCTGATATATCTTGGTTCTTTTTTCCCATTCCCCTGCTCTCTCCTTAACCCCTCCACCCTGCCCTATTTACAAAGACTTTTTTTGCTATTTTTACCTTTTGCCATATTTACTCTTTGCCTCTTTCCTTAAAAATTTTATAATTATCTGGAAGAAAGTACAATTGGAATTTTCAGATTCAATTTGTAAATTTTGGGGTTTTTTGGAGACAGGTTCTCACTATGTAGTTCAGGATGGCCTCAAACTCACAGTAATCCTTCTACCTCAACCTCCCAAGTACTGGGATTATATGTGCACCACCACATCACCCAGCTCAAGTTGTAACTGATTAAATATTGGGTGTCCAAAAGCTACAAAGATACTATATTACAATTTTCCTTTGTTTCTTTCTTCTTTTTCATGCAGAGTTGTGGGGAGAAAGGAACCCTTCTCCATTGTTGGTGGGAGTGCAGAATGGTGTAACCACTGTGGAAATCAATATGGAGATACCTCAAACAACTAAGATTAGAGGTCCCATTTGACCCAGCTATTCCCTTGCTGGGTAGCTTCCCAAAAGAATTTAAAAAGTCATACCACAGGGATGTATGCTCACCCATGTTTATAGAGCAACAGTTTGTAATAGCTAAAACTCAACTGGAGAAAGGACAAAGATATGTTTTTTTAAATAAAATGGAGTACTACTCAGCCATAAAAAACAAGAAACTAGGGACATTTATAGCTAAGTGGATACACGTTGAGGACATACTCTTAAGTGAAATTAATAGGACACACATGTGTAAATACCAAATAGTTTCTATAGTGTGATAAACTAAAAGTGTAAATAAGGATCAAAATGGATAATTGATACTGCATAATAGGAAAAAAGGTCTAAAGGTGTAGGGAAATGGGACCGGTTAGGGGAAAGGTAAGAAAAGAAAAAGTAAGACAAAAGGAAAAAAATGGAAACAAAGTCTTTGTAAACAGGGAAGGGTGGAGGGGGTGAAGGGAGGTCAGGGGAATGGGGAAAAAATAAGAACCAAGATATGTTATGTAAAGATACAAGATCCCAATGGTGAATGTAACTGCATTGTACACCTAAAATGTACCAATAAAGAAAAAAATGTTTAAATACAAAATTTATACTTTTTAAAATTTAATGTATATGTTTAAAGTAATGTCTATTCCATTATAAATAATGGTTTTTCTGTTCTCTGTAATAAGCTATATTCTTTTCAAAAAGAGAGCTAGGTATGTGATGCCTGTAATCCCAGGACCTGAGAGACGGAGGCAGGAAGACTTCTCAGAGTATTTACCACAGAATAGGATCTCCGTATATAATGGGAAATGAACTGTCATGTATCTTATGGATATTTCTAAGTGGAAATGTACACATCAAAATTTCAAATGAGTCACAATAATTTTAAACACAGCACTAATATGAGCAAATTTTATCAAAAACTGAATTCCAATAAAAGGGCAAATTTAATGTTTGTTTTCTGGTAAAATGGCTATATTCCTCCAGAGATAGTTATGAATAAATTATATAAGGATTTTATTTTTCAGTGTTATGTCAAAAATAATTTTTACATAATTGAGTTTACATTTTTCAAAAAGGTAGGTATAATGCACTCATTTCAAATTATGCACACTTTTAAATAAAATGCTTTTGGCTTTTATGAAAATTTACTCCAGTTATAAAATGTACGTGTGCTACATAATAAAACCAGCAATTCTCTTTTGCAACCCGGGATGGAACTCAGGACCTTGTGCTTGCTAGGTAGGTGTGGTGCCACTGAGCTAAATCCCTGGCCCCAAGGAATTCTTATTTCTAGTATTAAAGGTGTTCTTAAGTATGCTGCTATTATTCTACATACAAAATTGCAACAAATATATTATTCAAATAACAAAATGTAGCTGGACTGGGGATGTAGCTCAGAAGGAGAGCACTTGCATAAGATCTACAACATGCTGGGTCTGATTTCCAGCACTGCAAAAATAAATATATAAAATAGCAAAATATAGATCATTCATGTTATTATGATTTCATGTTTATTATGGTGTTTTTTTGTTTTATTTGTTTTTTGAAGCAGGGTGTGGCTGTGCAGTTCAGGCTGGCGTTGAACTCATGGTGATCCTCGGCCTCAGCCGCCCAAGTGCTAGGATTACAGGCATGTACACCACACCCATCTGCAAATATTCCTACTTTATAAAACCTGGTTCATAGATTAAGTAATTGACCAAAAGTCTTCAGGTCAATATGTAGTAGAGTTCAACTGCAGATCTGTTTAATTCCAATGTTCTGGTTCTTCCCATTACATAGTATTTTGAAGTTATTAATAGAAAAACATTTACAAAGCTACCTAAGAGATAATGAAACAACTAAAATACTTAAAATTGGTTTTCCATTAATTCACTATACAGATTCATTTATTAGGTTACGAATTTCTTGGAATAAACTGGAATTTATTCAGGATTCCAATGTAACTCACATAAAGTTTAGGTAGGTTTCCATTTCCATTACAGAATAAATGCTCGACTGAAGGATTTTCACATATACACATATATGTACCACTGCTATTGCAAACAAAAACATTACAGGAGAAACCACTTACCAAAAGTAGCAAATGGCTTATTATCAACAATGCAGAGAAAAATAGTAAAGTATCTTGTTCCTTAAAAGTGAAAAGAATTAGGTAAAGAACAAAATAGAAAACCATGGAAAGACTTAGCTTCAACCATGATTTAGAATTAAAAACAATTTTAAAAACCCATTAAGATTGGAGTAAAACTAACTTCTGTATTCTGTGATGAAAGTTTCAACAGAGCAAATTACAGTGATACCTCATTTCACAAATCAATTCTCTCCACAATTCTTAGCAAACCAAACTGGACAAAAACCAATTCCTGCATGAGGGCAACACTGAACCTAACCACTGAATTTGATTTGGTTCTCATCCAATTCGGTTTGCAACCAGAATTGTGAAAAGAATCGAGTTTGAGAACCTAAATATTTTTTTTTTAATTGAGTTTATTGGTACATTTAGGGATACAGTACAGTTACATTCATTGTTGGGATCATGTACCTTTACATGGCAAGTCTTGATTCTCATTTTTTTCCCCTTACCTCTGCCCTCCCTTCACCCCCTCCTCCCCTCCCAATCTACAAACACTTTATTTTCATCTTTTCATTCTCTCACATTGTTTTCTTTTCCCTTTTTGTTGAGAACCTAAATATTGCAGGAATCATATAGAGAAGATTAAAAAAAAAACAAAACTAAGTTTCAACTACTGTATGATTAATGAATTAAAAGCCTTGGGTATCAAAAGGAAAAAAATAGAAGGAAAAAACAGAAACAAAGCTTTTGTAAATGAGGGGAAGAGAAGTTGAAGGGAGGGGAGGGGAATGAGAAAAAAAAGTCAAGCTATATCATTCACATACAGCTACCAATTCCCTATGATGAATGTTATTACATATATCTAAAATGCACCAATAAAATTAATTTAAGAAATTTTAAAATTCAGGCAGAAAAAAAAGAAAAAAACTTAAGGCAAAAGGCTAAGGAGAATTCTTTTTTATGACAAACTCATTTTATTTAAAAAAAAACCTTGGGTATTTTTGGACTGTCCATTTACTCTCTCAAACTGGTATGTTAATTACAAACTATCTTCTGGAGCTTTTCTTACTATGTAGTCTATCTATTCTAAATTACTACATAGTCTTTAATTTATTCAATTAAAAACCTTTTCTTCCTATCATAGCAAAGTTATGAACACTGTACACATTTAAGACTCTAATTTTGAAAGCCAAAATCTTTCCACTTAAGAGATAATCAGGGTTTGCACATTAATATACATGTTCTAGAAATTCTTGTGATAGTGTGCATGTGCCTGTGCATTTACAAAAGTGGAATTAAACAATTGTCTGTATTACCTTCTTATATTTTCATTATTATGGCTTGTATTGAGATGTTCCCCCAAAGCCGCATGTGCTCACAGGACTTCTTGAGCTGAATCTAGGATATGTGATACTAGGATTAAGGGCGTGTGGTACTAAATTAGTCCACTGATTGGTTTAGCACAATTCGGGGTGTGGATAATGGGAAGGCCTAAGCTGAGTAGAGGTAGCATCCCACCAAAAGGCCTGTAGCCTGGATGGGATAATAGAGAAAGGAAGACTTCTTTCACTGGCTGCTGCTTTTGCTGCGTCTTCACTGCTGTTGCTTTGCTGCTTTCTGCTTGCCATGCCATGGACTGTTTCTCCTCTGCAATGCTCCTCCACCATGGAGCCAGTCAATTATGGACTGAAACCTCTACCAATTATAAAGTAAAATAAACCTTTCCTCCTTTAACTTATGGGTGTCAGATATTTTGTCTCAGCAACCAGGAAAGTAACAAAGACATTCATATAGTGTGACCATATTGCCATGTCAGTAACAGTATCAATTATATGGATAATTAATCTCCTGTTGCCAAACATTTAGCACACTGGTTTTTTTGCAACTACAAACAATGTTTTGGTAAACATCCTTACATACATACTATTCTGTACTTTTTTTTTTTTTTAGGGTCCCACTATGTAGTTGAGGCTGGCCTCAAACTCACAAGGATCTTTCTACTTCAGCCTCCTGAGTGCTGGGATTATAGACATAGGCTGATACACGCAGCCCATTACTACTGTGTTCCTACAAGACTGAAAATAGCTAGCCAGGCATGCATGCATGCCTATAATCCTAGTACTCAGGAGAGGCTGAGGCAGAAGGATTGCCGTGAGTTCGAGACCAACCTGAATTATATAGTGAGTTCAAGCCCAGGCTGAACTACGTAGAGAAACCCTGCCTCATAAAATTAAAAAGTAAATAAATAAAAAAATAAATAAAGTAGCTTCTAAATTTAGTCTTTCCAATAATTTAATTAGCCTTGTTACTGATTTGAAATAACAAATGGTATTGATATGACTTTAATGAACACAATCAGCTTACTAATTTATCTTTGTCAAAAATTCTTACCTTGCAATAACAGATTCAATTGGCATGATATTGGGTACATAATGGGCCATTGGGGAAACAAAGTGTCCATCTAGGACCTTACAGTCTGACTGCTCTTCAATCTAAAAGAAAGGAAATGAAGATTGTATGCTGTAGATTATATGAAGTAGATTATATGTTGGTCTACCACGGATGTTTTTATAATAAAAAGGATCTACTGAATTAACAACTTTTTCCAGCGCTTACTATACATCCTTTTAGCTCTACTCTGCTTTTCAAAAGACATTGTTCCTACACATTTATTTTCTTTCTATACCTTTTACTACAGCCTACTTGGTAAAATAAATAATAAATCTCATTCATACATTGACAGCAATAACTCAAAATAAAATACTAAAGAATTCAATACTACTAGTTAAAAGAATTCAACAGCATTCAACAATACAATCACAACAATAATTTAAAAATTACAATAATTTACCACAATCAAATAAGACTTGACATCAAAGATATTATAGTGGTTCAGTACTGGCAAGCTATTGATGTGGCCCAGGTTGGCCTCAAACTTGAGTAAATCCTCCTGTCTCAGCCTCCTAAGTGCTAGGATTACAGGCATGTGCCACCATGCCCAGTGCCTGAGCATACAGTTTTAAAGTTTTCTTTGTATATATTTTAAATTGTTTGATGAAAGAGGCAGTACAAATTACTAATAAATGAGGCAGAACAAACTAATATGAAAGGGAATATAATTCAACAAGAGTTACTAAAGCTAGTATAAGAAAGAAAAATTTTAGAACCACATATGGAAATATATAATACATTTAATAACTACAACACAACTCAAGAATAAAAAGATAAGTAACCCTATTCAAAAGTGAGTGAGGGACCTGAAAACCTTTTCCTCTAAAGAAGACATACAAATAGGTAGTATTCACGCGAAAAGATGTTCAACATCATAGTTATAAAAATTCATGTTATGAAATACATTTGTGAATTACAAATATTGGTAAGAATGTGGCAAAAGTGCTACTGTTGATGGAATGTAAAACAGGGTAGTCATTTTTGTTTGTTCTGAGACAAGGTCTCACTGTATAGTTTAGACTGGCCTTGAACTCACTATGTAGCCCAGTCTGGCCTTGAACTCACAGCAATCCTCCTACCTCAGCCTCCCTGGTGATGGAACTACAGGTGTACGCCACCATGTCTGTCTTGGGGGTAGAGAGACTAGGGAAAAGTTTTATGCATTTTCTTAAAAAGTAAATATAAACCACCTATAACTGATGCATACTGGAAGCTTAGGCAAGATAGAAAGTTTGAGCCCCACCTGGTCAACTCAGCAATTTCATAAGACCATGTCTTAAAAATAAAAAATTGAAAACGGGCAGGGGATATTACTCAGTGCAATACTCCTGGGTTAAATTCCAAGTACTTGGGGAAAAGTTAAACATACTATGTTGACATGTTAAAAAAAATTCAATAATTTTTCTATATACTAATCATAAAATAGCTGAGAAAAAAATCAGGGAAAAAATTCCATTCATGATAGAAATAAAATATGTACCTAGGGATCAACCTAACCAAGATGGTAAAATACCTCTACAATGAAAATTACAGAACACTGAAGAAAAAAATTGAAGACAATACAAAATGGAAAGGCTTCCCATGTTCATGAATCACACAATCAATATTGCTAAAATGGCCATATTACCAAAAGTGCAAACCCCATCAAAATTCCAATAACATTCTTCATAAAACTAGAAAAAAATCTTAAAATTCATACAGAAACACAACCCAGAGTAGCCAAAGCAAAAAGAGCAAGGCAGAGGCATGATAAAACAATATTTGATTTCAAATTATACTACAAAGCCACAGTAACAAAAATAGTATGGTAATGGCACAAAAATACTGGCATAGATCAATGGAACAGGATAGAAGCACAAAAGAAATCCATAAAACTACAGCCATGTGATTTTTGACAAAGGTACCAAAAACATACTCTGAAGAAAAGACAGACTCTACATGGTGCTAGGAAAAGTAGATATCCACTTGTTGAAGAATGAAACTAGACCCTTGTCTCTCACCCTGTACATAAATCAAATCAGAAATGGATCAGACATAGGTGTAAGACCCAAAACTTTGAAAATGCTAGAACTCATTAGCGCAAGGGCCCAAGTTTGATCCCCAGTATCCAAAAAATAAGAAAGACAAAATGCTACATGGAAACACTTGAAGCCATAGGCACAGGCAAAGACTTTATGAATAGGGCTTCAATAGCACAGAAAATAATACCAGGAATCAAGAAATGGGACTACTCAATTTAAAAAGTTTTTGTACAGCAAGGGAACAATTAAGAGTAAAGAGATAACCTCCAGAATAGGAGAAAATTTTTGTCATTACTCTTCCAACAGATCTAGAATATATAAAGAACAACAACAAAAAAAACACCAGAAAATCAAATAGCCCAATTAATAAATGAGCAAATGAACTGAATCGATACTTCTCAAAAGAAGCAAACAAGCATATAAAAGAATGTTCAACATTTTTAACCATTAGGGAAATGCAAACCAAAATTACAATGAGATTTCATCTCATCCCAATTAGAATGGCTATTATCAAGAATAGAAAAAAACAATAAATGCTGGTAAAGGTGTACAGAAAAGGAACCCTTCTACACTTCTGGTAGGATTGTAAATTACTACACTGTAATGGAAGTTCTTCAGAAAACCAAAATTAGTACTACTATATGACTACTTCCTTCATATATACCAGAAAGAATTAAAGCCAACATACTAAAGAGAAACCTATATATCCATTTTTATTTTGTCACAATTCACAATAACCAAGATATGGAACCAGCCAACCCATCGATAGATGAATGATTAAAAAAAAAGTGGTACATATACACAGTAGAGTATTATTCAGCTATAAGGAACAAAATTATGTCATTTGCAAGAAAATGGATGGATATGGAGATCATACTGTTAAGCAAAAAAAGCCAGACACAGAAAGGTAAGTATCACATGTTTTCCCTAGTATGTGGAATCTAAAAAAGGTGAAACAATGATAGAAGGAAAACTTTCATAGACAGGAGGAAGAGACCAAAAAGGAGAGAAAAGGCATGTAAGGGAGATTAATAGAGGAGATGCATATGATCAAAATATGTACATAGAAACACGATATTGAAATTCAGGATTTTTTAAATTGCTTAGGTGCTAAAAATTAAGTTAAATATAGAGCTGTCATATAACCCAATAATTAAACTCGCACGTATACATAAAACTGAACTGAATGTTCACACATAAACTTGTACAGAATGTTCACAACTACACAATTCATAATAGCCAAGTGGAAAGGTCTCAAATGTCTATCAATTTGAAAAATAAAATATGGCATATCATACAATACCATTTATTAATAGAAGAGAATAAAATACTGAACCTAAAAATAGCATGCTGCCATGGACCTGTAATCTGAAGCACACTAGGGGCTGAAGTAGGAGTATCACAAATTTGAAACCAGTCTGAGCAAGTTGGTGAGAATTTATCTAAAAAATTTTTAAAAAGGGGTATAGATGTGGCCAGAGGTTCAGTCACTTGCCTAATATGTGTGAGGGCCTGGGTTCAATTCTCAGAACAAAATATTTTAAAAATCATACTTAAGAAGCCAGACACAAAAAAGACCATGTATTGTATGATTCTATTTATAAGAAATTACTTAAATTGCAGAGTTCATAGGAACAGAAAGTAGATTAGTCATTGTCAGCAAGTAGAGAATGTGCAACAGGAAATAACAAACAATGGGTATAAAACAATATTTCTTTCTGGGTCAATGAAAATGCTCTGCAATTAGTGAAAAAAGTGATGGTTGTACATTGTGGAAGCTGTATACTTTGAAAAAGTGAATTCTCCAGAACCCTGGGAACCTGAGACAAGGATCACAAGTTTAAGCCCAGCCTAAGCAACTTAGCAAAACCCTTCTCAAACTAAAAAACAAAAAGACATGGACGGCTGAGGATTTAGCTCAGTGGTTCTGCCACCTGCCTCACAAGCACAAGGACCTAAGTTCAATCCATGGTTAACAAAAAAAAAAAAATTAAAAAAAAAAAAAAAAAAAAAAAAAGAGAGAGAGAGAGAGAGAGAGATGGGGATGTATCTCAGTGTGAAGGTCCTGGGTTCAATCCTCAGTACCATTAAAAAAAAAAGATGAGATATATGTTATGTATGTGAATTATATCAAAGCTTTGAAAAATCAAGATATATTCCAAAATCTTTTTTTTTCCTGAGCTCAGGTGCCACATGCCTGTAAGCTCAGTACTTGGGAGGCTGAGACAGGAGGATCATTGTGAGTTCAAGGCCAGCGTGATACATAGCAAGATACTGTCTTGAAAGAAAAAGAAAGGAAGAAAGAAAACAAAGAAAGACTGAGCAAGCCCAGGGCCTTGAACATGTTAGGTAAGTGCTCCATCCCTTTAATTTTGAGACAGGATCTTGAGAAACAGTCTGGCTAGCCACCAACTCATGATCCTCCTAGCCTCTGACTAGTCAAGTCTGTAGGCACATGCCACCATGCCTGGAGCCTAGATCTTAAAAGTAATGCCTCAAGAGAAGTGGAAATAGGTGGCAGAAAGTGCCAGAAATTAAAGGAGATTTTTTTTTCTTTGTGGTACTGAATATTGCATTCAGGGCTTTGTTCAAACTAGACAGGTGCCCTTCCACTGAGCTACAACCCTAATCCTTTTTCAAAAATCTTGAGACAGGGTCTCATTTAGTTGGCAAGGCTGAGCTAGAACATGTAATCCTCCAGCCTCTGGAGTAAGTAGGATTACACACATGAACCACACTTCTGGCATAAAGGAGATTTGATTTGTTATTTGATATGCTTTATTTTAAAATTTTGAGCCTACAATTTTTAATGGAAAAAAAGAAAATAGAAATATTTTAAAAATACAAATATTTAGTAAAATTTGAGTCAATGGAAAATCTTCTAAATCCAAGAGATAAAGAAGAAACTGCTATATTATAGAGGTTTTCAGTTCATAAAATTTATTTTTAGCAGTGGAAATCTTTCGAAAAAAGAAGTCTTCTAAAGATAGAGACACATGGAGGGTTTCTTTGGTTGAATGTCAGGGAGGGCTGTAAGAAGCCCACCTAATATACCCCTTACCAAGATCTCAAAGTATTCAATATTATCTGGCAGAAAAAACAACTGGTTGCTTAAAAAGCAAAAACATTCTCATATTCTCTAATTTTATACCACTTCTTTCTACCATTCTCTCAGTTAACTCTATCCTATATTTTCCCTTGTGTTTAATAGTTGTTTTGGAAATATCATCTGAGCCAATTTTCCAACTAGATTACTTCCCTTTCTTACATTCTTCTGCAATGTTGAATAATTTACTTAAACTCTCTTGAGCTTACAGATACAAAAATCAGACTCAGAAAGATTCAGGCTAAGTACTTCTTTGTATTTAGGCAAATAATATGCTCCCAAATACCATATATACGAACACATTTATTAATACTATCTGGTTAAGGTACAAATAACATTCTTTAAATATTACATGACACTCATGTTTCAGTGTTTGCTGTTGTTATACTCCAAAACTCAGTCTATTCTTTAAGCATATTTATGTTAAACCAGAAGTTCTCCAACTGCATTAGTTCCATTTGAATACCTTATCAATGTACACTGGATAATCACTGGAAACCAGATTCTGGCATCTTTCGCGGTTTCCAATCATCTTCCTGAATTCAAAAAGTCTATTATGAGAAAGAAGACAAAAAGGAAAAAAAATCATCTGTTATACACCCACTATATCCATTACTGTGAGATTAATATTGATTAAAAATTAGCAAATTCAGTTCATAAACCATATTAAAATTTAATTATCAAATCAAAAAAATTAAAGGCACCAGTATGGAAAATGAGCTTTCTTAGGGTCCAGATTTTCCTAGGAGCTACAGTGTATTCCATTTATTTAGGGCTTTGTTTTTTGGTTTGAGACAGCATCTTGCTATGCAGTTCAGGCTGGCCTCCTGAGTGCTGGTATAGGCATATATCACCATACCCAGCTTTATTCTAATTTTATAGTCATTACAAATTCAGATTACTCGAGAAAAATCAGTGCCTGGAAACTAATCGGTTTAATAATTACTAAAGTAAAAAAAATCTAATTTGTATGTATTTAGTTTTTTTCCTTCTTTTTTAAACAGGATCTCATTATGTAGTTCAAGCTGGATGTGAACTCATTATATAGCCCAGGCTGGCCTTTAATGAGAGGTGATCATCCTGCCTCAGCCTCCTGAGTGCTGGGATTACAGATGCACCACTATGCCAGCTTAATGTTTCTTTTCTTTTCTCTGTTTGAGACAAAGTCTCACAGTGTAGCCTACACAGGTCTCAAAATTGCTATGTAGCTCCAGCTGGCATTGAACTTGCAATCCTCCTGCCTTCTGAGTGTTGGGATTATAGGCACCACACCTCTTTAAGAGGGGAATTATTTTTTACATGGTCCAATATTTGATGCTATGAGCTAAAATTTGAGCAATTACTAAGTAGATAAAAGGAAACAATTACATTTGAAAATAATTTAATGTTTAACTGCCTAATCAATCACTGTGTATTTGAGGACAAAGGATTTGATAAATGCAATAAAACAAATTCAAAACAAGTATTCAAAAGAAAAAATGATTACCTTTTGAGATCTTCTGGCCTTCCCCATCCTCTAATAAAAAGTTTTGTGAGGAGAAGTCTCCGGTATAGAATATCTAACTTGCTCACACCCATTAGTAGCAAATAGCATCTAGAAACAAAATTTAAAATAACTTTAACTTTCTCTTTTTCTCTTTTTTCTTTTTTTCAACAACCAGAACTTCATATACATTTTGTAAGGACTTGACCAACTGAGCTAAATCCCCCACCCAAAATGTTTATAATTTTAATCAAGACAGGAAGTCAATTTACTTTCTTTCACTATCAGGTAAAACAAAGACTGAGAGTAAATTTTTTTTTTTTTTTGGTGGTACTAGGGATCAAACTTGGGACCTTGTGCTTAAGAGGCAGTGGTGACACCACTGAACTAAATGCCCAGCCCAAGAGTAAATTCTTGAATTGATTCCTTGGAAAATCTGATGTATTTGTTGATAAACAGGTATATGAATAAGTTAGATTTATATAAATCGCTTATATGACACTGCAAATTTGTTATATCTATTAATACCAACATTCTCACTAATTACCTTTACTATGATATCATTTAATACTCAAATCTGTGTTTTCATAGTCTACAGTTCTGTTAGTTGACTTTTTTTTTTTGGTGTAGGGGATTGAACTTGGGCCCTTGTGCTTGCAAGGCAGGCGGCAGAACCACTGAGCCAAATCCCTAGCCCATTAGTTGACTCTTTACAACAAATAATGATGGATATATTTGCTCCTTTCTCATCATCCAAGAGACAAAATTAAGTTTATTATAAAGTACTTATATAGTAAGACAGAAAACTGATTATATACACACACACACATACATACATATATCGTCGTTGTTTGTTTTTTTGTTTTTTGAGACAGGGTCTCACTATGTAGTTGAGACTGACCTGGAACTCACTATGTAGCCCAGGTTGGTCTTGAACTCACAGCAATACTCCTGCCTCAGCCTTCCAAATGATGGGATTACAGGCATATGCCACCAGGCCTGGAGATTTTTATAATTTTTAAATTGCAGAAATTCAAAATGTAATATTAGTTGAACGCATTTTTTAGTAATGTAGGCATATTGATAAGAATAATAAATTTTTTTCTTGGAAGTTTGCTTAAATGGGTTCAAAGTTAGTACCCCTATCATGAAACTGAGTGCAAATGTTCATTTGCAAAGACTATTCCTAGCTCACACACCACAAAAAGGCAGGCTGGCCAACAGTTTTCAGACCTGAGTTAGAAAATCAAATAAATCACAGGGGCATGTCATAAATAGTAAATGATGTCATCAATGCAAAGATACAATTATAAAGCACTGTTTGTTTGTTTATTTATTTGGTACCTGGAATCAAACTCAGGGTCTTGAGCTTGCCAGGCAGACAGTGCACCACTTAGCTATATTCCTGGCCCAGATTAAACTAACAAGTCCAAAACTTTTAAGTGTCCATCAACATGCATATACAGAATGAAATATTACTGGTTTAAAAAGGAGGAAAATTCTGCCACATGCTACTATATGCATATAATCATAAACCTTTATATAAAAAGCCAAACCTTGTATGATTCCATTTACCTAGATTACTCAGATTCACAGAAAGTAGAATACGAGTTGTAGAGCTGGGGAAAGGGAAAATGAATGGGGAGGTTGTTGTTTAATGGGCACAAAGTTTCTGTTTTGCAATATGAAAAACAGAGGTGGATGGTGGTATTGGCTGCTCAGCAATATGAATGTACTTAGTAACACTGAACTAACTGTATACTTAAAATGATTAAGATAGTAAACTTGACATTAGAATATTTTACCATAATTTGAAAAGGAGAAACTATTTAGAATTTGAAGTTAATCTGTGAAAGCTGTTAGAATAAAAATGGAGTCACTTATCTCAAATTCTTAATAAAACAGAGTTGGGAGGCCATGAAGAGAAGATCTTCATGCATATTTACTTAAAAAGAATTATCACAAAAACTTTGCCCAAACCACAGCCTTAGAGTTAAGTCCATTTCTTTATTTTCTTCCTTTGGAAGCAAAATATTTATTGGTACATTTTAGATATACATAATGATCATATTCATCATAGGGAATTGGTAGCTGTACATGATATATCTTTGCTTCTTTTTTTCCCCACTCCCTCCCTGACCCTACCCACCTTTTTCAGTTAAGGCCATTTCTGAGGATATCTTTTTAGCAGGAGCCAGTGCTAACAGTACTATTCCAAGTAGCCTTACTCGTCCCACATACTTGCAATCACAGCCATTTGCCATTTCTATGAAGAACCTCTCTGAGCAATGGCCAGTGCATGTCACTGCCCGCAATAAGCCCTGTAACCAATGAACTTTTGTTTCAAGCAACCTGTGTGGCTTCCTTTTGTCTTTAAAAGGATCCCCTTCCCTCAATTTTCCTAGACGTGCTCATAATTGGTCACCGCATGCCTATGCCTGACTGCAATCCTCTGCATATTCCTGAATAGGCTCATTTCTTTAGAAAGCCTTTCTGTTATTTCATTTCACTTCGAAGTACTAGGGATTGAGCGTGAGGCCTGTGCATTGAGCTACATGCCTAGACCTTTAAATTTTTTTTTTATTTTGAGATAGGGTCTCAATGAATTGCTAAACTGCCCAGGTGGAGCCCCTGTGTAATATTCCTTTCTCAATCTCCCAGACTGCTGGGATTACAGGCGTGTGCCACCATGCCTGGACTGTTATTTTATGTTGACAGTCCCCTTACAAAATTTTGGTAGAAAGTCAATTGAAGCTTTCTTTTCCTTTTGATAATGTCCTCAGTAAGTATAGTTCATTATCCTATTTAATTTAGAATAGAACTCAAGAATAGTATTATTCTCTTCAAAAAGGGACACTACATAATTTAAATATTTGAAAGCTTCAGTATGATCTTCAAATAAAAGAATTTGAAGAAGAAATCTTTTGAGACTGTTTCCCCTCCATCTTCTCATTTTATTTTTCCTTGAGATTAATTTCCCAGAACCCAGTCAACCTGGGCTTTCTGCTGTAGGCCCTCAACATTTCAATCAAGCTATCAAATGAAATGAATTTCTGTCTAGAAGCATGAATAGAGAAGAGCCCACTTAAAGGGTTTTAGCAGAATTTATTTGCTGTTTGTCAACCTCGCCTTCTGGAGGCTAGCCACACTTCTGTGTATCACCTAGCTTTTTCCATAGAAGTTCACAATCTGGCAGCTTATGTCTTTAAGGCCAAAAGAGTAAGAGTCACAGTGATCTGTGGGAGTGGCACTCCAACACCTCTGCCATATTCCTATTGGTTTAAAGGTAAAACAGAAGTTCTGGCAAAACTAAAAAGGAGACAATTACATAAATGCATAGCATTAGAGGGCCACAATCATGAGGACTACCACAGATACTCTATGCTACAACATGGGAAACAAATTAGACTTAGCCTTTGAGTACAATGTCTGAGCTAATATCCTCAATACCAAACAACATTTTGTTCATACCAATAGGGAAAACAAGAACTCAAACTTCATAGGCCTGATAAACATTCATTTATAAGCCAATGAGCTCTTGAAAATTTGTGCGAATTTTTTTTTTCAGCTTTAATTGAGTTTATTGGTACATTTTAGGGATACAGCACAGTTACATTCATTGTTGGGATCTTGTACCTCTACATGACAAGTCTTGGTTCTCATTTTTTCCCCTTGTCCCTGCCCTCCCTTCATCCCCTCCTCACCTTCCCATCTACAACCACTTTATTTACAGCAAATTGTTTTTATACGTCTAAATAGTAAAAGGTAAACTGACTTCCAAAATGTTGTCTCCATTATATACATATAATAATTGATTAAAATCACAAGTATAAATGCAATATATTTAAATTGTTTAGCTAGTTTTTTTTTTTTCCTTGAACAGTAAATGTCAGTGTGTCAGGCATGGTAATACACACTTGTAGTCCCAGCACTTTGGAAGGCTGAGGCAAGAGGATTTAGTTTCAGCCTGTTTCAGCAACTTAGGGTCTTAAGAGATCCTGTCTCAAAAAGAAATTTTTTTTAATTAAAATTAAAAATAAAAAGGAAGGCCGGGGATTTAGCTCAGTGGTTCGCCACTTGCTTTGCAAGTGCAAGGTCCTGAGTTCGATCCCCAGTACCAAAAATAAATAAATATAAATTTTTTTTAAAAAGGAGTAGGGATTCAGCTCAGGGCAAATACCTTGGGGTCAAGCCCCAGTCCCCCAACTCCCATATACCAACAAAGAATAAATCTAGCTGTTCACCTGGTTCTGTTATGGTGCTCCTAAAACCCTTGAAACTTTGCAAGTTGAATGCCCATGTTATTCTCATAAAGTGACTCACATGGTTGGGGCTGAACTTCATACTTTGGATCAGCCTGACCTCCAGATCAGGGAACCAAGAGGGAAATAATGTTCAACCAACTTGGCTAATGATTCAATCAATCATGTGCATGTAATAACCCAGTAAAAACTGGATACTGGATCTTCTTGGAGATTTTTAGTGGATTAACACTTGACATCTCCAGAAGATGATGCTCTGGACTCAAGGATAGCCATGGCAGCTCCATGTTGATTCTTTCGTTCATTTTTTTTATTTGGCTGTTTTTGAGTTGTATCCTTTATAAAGCTGCAATTTCATTTATTTTTATTAATTTTTTGGTGGGTTTTTTTGAGACAGGGTCTTTCTATGTAGTTCAGGCTGGCCTTAAACTCACCATGTAGTTCAGGATGGCCTCAAACTCATGAGTCTCCTGCCTCAGTCGCTGTGCTGGAATTACAGATGTACAGGGCCATGCCCAGCTAAAGCTACAATTTTAACAATGTACAGGGATTTTCTGAGTTCCAACAAGGGTCTTAACAATCTCTAAATTTTTATTGAAGTTGCTCAGAAGGGTGCATAGCCTGGAGATCCCTAAAGTGTGATTAGCACTTGCAGTGGCATCTGGAAGACTCTACCTTTTACTTGTGGGTCTGCACTAACTATGGGTGACGAGTGTCCAAACTGACCTGAAGTATACTCAGCTGGGGTGGAAATGGGCTAGTAGTTTATTCAAATAATTCGTAAAATTCTGACAAGCGTTACATATTCCGAACAATAATCCAATATTTTAGATATATTTGAGGGAAGGAAGATAACATAAGGAAAGATAATTCTGAGTGATAAATGATTTTAATTACTGCACTCCTTGATCTTTCTGGAATTGTTAAAATATATACCACTGAGCTAGGCATAGTGGTGTATGCCTATAATCCTAGCTATATAGGAAACGGAAAAAGGAGGATTACAAAATCAAGGCCAGCCTGGGAAACTTAGTGAGACTGTTATCCATCCATACGTCAACAAGTAAATGAATAAGGCTGTGATGAAGTTCAGTGGTAGAAAGTCTCTAGGTTCTATCCCTGGTGATATACAAAATAAGATACTGATGCATTTTTGTATGCATTTATTAAATTACAGAACAGTGGCATGCCATTGCCTTTTACAGGTACTTTATTACAGGGCTTTTTATTTTCTTGCCTAAAGCAATATCCATGGCGTCAATAGCAACTGGCATGTTAGTAAAAGGATAAAATTAAAAATCCAACTCTAGTATTTTACAGTATGAAGTAATATACTATTCATAAGACTTAACTTTTAAAAATTTAAACATTTTCACATTGGCAGAAGGTAAAACTAAAGACAGAAACACAAAAGTAGAAATTTGCAAGGGAAGCAAGAAAATACTTAAGAACAATGAACTTTTCAAATAGTTTGTCAAGTACTATATTTATTACCTAAGTTGTTTAGCCATACCTGATTTTCAATCCTAAACTAGAAAATTTTACCACATCATTTTGATTCCCTGTAAAACAGGCCATAAGAGTCAGCACTCCAAGCTGGACATAGTAGTGCACACCTGTAACCCCAAAGCAAAAGGATCACAAGCTAAAGCCCAACCTGCGTAACTCAGTGACTAAGTGAGACCCTCACTCAAAATAAAAAGATTGGGGGGCAACCCACTTTCTGGTCCCCCTTCTGCCTCTTTTAGACAGAAACATGCTTTCCCTCAATAAATTTTTCTTACTTTAAAAAAATAAATAAAAATTTAAAAATTGAGCTGGGGATACAGTGTAGTGCCAAGGCCCTGGGTTCAATCCCCAGTATTGAACGGTGGTGATAGTGGGGGCAGATAAAAGTCAGCACACCAAAACTAGAGCCAGCATACTCCTTGCTATAATTATCCCCCATAAACAACTGACAAATGTGGAACACAAAGCAAATCACACATACATAGCTTACTATAAATATAGTTGTTGGAGTCTGGACTACACAGGTTAAATCCTACTTCAGCTTCAAGAGCAATATAAAATACTCAGGTTTTCTGACTATATAAACATGTAAATCTTTCTAGGCAGGGCTGACTGTCAGGATACCCAGTACCACCATAAACAAACAACAGTCCAAGCCGAGAGTAAACACAACTACAATTTAACAAAAGGAGGCACCATTAAGAGCCATGCCAGATACAAAAAGCCCATTTATCAAGCTTGACACCAATGAACTTTTGCAGAAACAGGGCCCACTTTTAAAGTACACATCAAGCCAAACTGACACAATTGTCATCTACATTTTTAAATAGCCAATATAAAAGGGAAAAACAAAGTGAAACAAAAATAGAAGCTCTAGGACAATGCCAAGGAATCAAATGTCTTTCCTAGAAATGAGCTCTACTGCTAAAGTGGCACTCATGGCCTATCATGTCATCTGGTACTTTTATGTCTTCACGGGTTCCTACATATTTAAACAATATAATCCTAATTTTTTTCTGAACTTCTATCTATAGGTTGTTTATATATTTCAAAGGTATAAATGAAATTTTTAAAAACGTCATGTACAAGAACTTTCTCCATCATTTTCTGAATAAAAAGACCTAATTTTTGCTTAGTAATTTCTTTTATTTGTTTGGTTTTTTGGTTTTTTTTGTTTTTGGCTTTTTTTTTGGTACTGGAGATCAAACTGGGACCCTTGTGCCTGCGAGGCAGGTGGTGGAATTACTGAGCCAAATCCCTGGCCCAGTAATTTCTTTTAAATCACTTCTTTGCAGAACAAATATTAAGTAGTAAGCAAAGGTTTAGATATTTAGCTATCCACCATTAAAAATTACCCTTGTGCAACAAGTTTAACTCCTTTTAATCTTACACTTGAGAAAAGCAGGAAAATAAGAAGTTCATCTGTTTGGGAAGGGTATGGATAAACATCTAAGGAAATTCAATGAGTAGATTGTTTGATCTTCATATGGAACATTCAGAAAATAATCTAATGTCTTTTCAAAGGACTTTAAAAACATTTTAAAATGCGTACTTTGGATGTTAGGGTGTGTGGGTGGATTCCCAAGAGATACTTAGAGCTTATTTAGATTTCACCAGTTGTGCATGTACTCATTACATGTGTTCCTGTCATCTGAAGTCATCACTTGGAGGTAGCAATGGAAAACAGCAGTGGCAAAAGACTAAGGTTCATCCACTGGCTGTGTGACCTTGAGGAAGACATGTTAATACACAAATAGGAAATAAGACTTGGCCTAATACACCATAGCAAATTATTTCACTTACATAAAATTAAGAATCTCTTTTATTGCATTTGAAGAGATGTGAGGAAAAAAGTCTTTCTGCTGTGCTTTCGAAGGAAGCTGGGTGGTAAATAGCAAAGTCTTTATATGTAGGATCCTGTGTTTCCTGTATAAGTAGTACCATGCTCTAACCGACTGCATCATTGGAGCTCCATGTTTCTTGAATTCAAGTCGGTGTGTGTGTGTGTGTGTGTGTGTGTGTGTGTGTGTGTGTTTGTTTTCCTGGGCATTGAAGCCAATGCCTTCACAATGAGCTATACCCTCAGCCTTTTAAAATTTTAAGACAAGGTCTTGTGCAGTCATTAAGTTGCCCAGGCTGGGTTTGAATTTGCAATCCTCCTGCCTCTGCCACCCGGTGGGTGTGTATTACCACACCCAAATTTAAGTGGCTGGTTCTTAGATGGTGATCTACACAAGTTACTTCAATATCCCTGCCTTCAATATTTTCTATTTGAGACAATTTTTCAATTACTACCTCAAAGGATGGTTGTAGGGATGAAACGAGTTAATTTAATAAACATTACTCACCACATATATTCATTATTATATATAGATACATATCCTTTTTGCTTGGTGCAATACTGGTTAAAAGTTTCTTTGTTCACTTTGTTTGTGATATATACTACTATGCTAGCCTCTGGGGACTAAGAAAAGACAGTGAAGCAATGTCACCTTTTGGAGTCTCAATCACAGGCTTTTAACATGTTTTTGTAAGGTGTTATAAATGAATTTGAAAGACTGAATCTAATCAATACAAAAGAACCAGGTAAGATTCAGAAAATACTTTTGAACCGAAATCTTAGCTGTTTACCAGTGGAATGTACTTCATTGGACACAGAAGGTCATGAATGAGCTAAAGATTAAAGGAGACAGCAATACCACACACAACATATAACTAGTAGGAAACCTGGCACAGGTTAGAACTATCAGTTGAAAAGAACTGAGTTGGGCTGGGGATTTAGCTCAGTGATTCCGCCGCCTGCCTTGCAAGCACAAGGATCCGAGTTCAATCTCCAGTACCAAAAAAGAAGAAAGGCAAAAAGAAAAGAAAAGAAATAAAGAAAACAATTGAGTTTATGTCCCAACTCTTGCCAAGTCCACACCGAGTGACTCTGGGTAATTCATGTCTCTGATAAAACGGAAATCTGTGCGCTGTACATCTATTTCATGGAAAAGTTATAATAAAATGAAATCACACAACGTAGCTGGTGATAATAAAATGTTAATTTATGAGACACATACGCAGGCTACTGCCACCAATTGGCCTATAAGCCTGGCTGTAGAGATAAGACGTTGACTGTAAAGACCAGGAAGGAAGTGGCATCTAGAGCTAGTGAAAATAGCCTCGTTTTCTAAAATGCCATCTTCCTTGTGATGGAAGGATCAGTTGTGGCTGGGCAGGTGCCGAGCCTTTTCTAAGCCCCAGACTCCAACAGCAAAATCTATCCAGTGGCATCTTACAAGGGCAAGGACTTAGTTCGCGGAGGCCTCGCTGGGCGCGGGTTAAGGAACCCGCGGATAAGGGCTGGATCCCTCCCTCACTCGGGACCCTCACAAGCACTACAGGTGAAGGTGTCCTGGAGTAAGCCGAGCTAGAGAACGAGCGGCCGCG